CATAACTGATTTTAAACATATATATATATATATCATGAACAATGAATAAATTATAATATTCAACACGCTTTCTTCGATATATGTTACTTGAATTTATTCATAGTTATTCGGCGACATTTTATTGTAATAATGCTATTGTCATTGCTCAACTAGTTTATGCTTTCCGTGATTGATCAATGTTTTTTGTTAATATTTCATTCGCAAAGTTGTAATAAAATTTTTTATAAAGTAACAAAAAATATTGAAATTATCTCAAAATCAAATTATATACAGATTCATTAAATATATCACGAACGCATACATATAAGTATAATTCAATATATCATTAAAAGTTTTTTGCGAATAAATAAAAAAAAAATATTATTAACATATTTTTAACATATTTTAAATTCATTGAAATCGATAAAGAAGAAATTAATTGACAAATTAATTTGTATGAAAAATATCATGCACATAAGATATCATAAAATTTACCATTATTAGTATAATACCAGCAAGTATCATATTAAATGATGTTGCTATTATAGTATAAAAAATAATATGACGGAGACAATTGGCTATTTCTTTTGCGTATCTAAAAAATAAATTGCTTACAATGAATATAAATAAAAATAATTTAATTTATAAAATATTATCCTACTGATTAATTCTCTCCTCATTGATTTTAATAATCCTAAAATGTAATCGTAATTATTGTTCTTATCAACTTTTTTCTTTATATACATATATAATTAATGATCAGCAGTTTTCGAATTATTCGCAAAAAAATATTACTATATTATATTGAATTTTATTTAATATATGCATTCATAAGAATAATATGTATATGAATTGAATAGTGCGAATATTATTAATAATAAGTATTGAATATTATAATTTATTCATTGTTCATATTCCCATCTTGTATAGATATACATATATAAGCAGAATTCAATAATATAATATATTCTTTTACGAATAATTTACAGTTATGCATAAGAAAAAAATTATTGAAAATGAAATGAACGATATATTTCAAATTTATTAAGATTATAATATGTAAAGAATTATTAAGATCGATGAAGAAAAAGTAATCAGCAAGTTGATTGTTATCTTTACCTCCTGATTTGTAATTGTTTTTTTATACAAATAATCATCATATCTTTGTTCGAAATATTCTGTATTTTCACGATCAAACATTCAAATCTAACGACCACGAACCACAATAAAAGCGCTCCAAATATGCTTAGGCATACAGTTGCAGAACATTGATAAGCAAAGAAACATTGATGGAAATATATTATAATATATACTGCCGTATTATTAAGGCTTAATGGAAATTCTGTATAGAATGGTAAAGAAATAGGTAAGAATATAGGTCCCAATATAAATATCGTCGTAGTTAAGTATGAAATTATTATAGCACTTCCATAAAGGATATAACATTTTGTTATATATTTCTGGATAATTTCTTTTTCGTATTGTTTTGCCTCTTTAATATAGGTTATCATTTCTTGAATTATGTGCTGTTAATTTATGATAAATAATTTATGATAAAATATGTACAAAAACATATATAGTAATAAACACAATCATTTTCATCCATAAATCATTAAATTTCTGCTAATTTTTATTCTATTAATCGATAATATAAATTTATGAATTTGCTTTTTTTAATATTGCGAATATAAATTTTTAATAATAATAATATATTCTTATTTTTTTAATAATATATATTATTATTTGTAAAATTTTTTTACATTTATTCGTAAATTTGAAAAAAATGAAAGCATTTATTAACATTATATTTAAATTAAAACTAAGATGAAATAATATATAATATAAAACAATATATAAATTATATATTATCAATATAAATTATATATTGATAATATATAATATATTATATTTTTTTTAAGGAAACTCTTTTTTAAATTTGAAACTTTATAAATTAAAGTTATTAAAATATATTAAATTAAATCTATTATTCTGATATATTTTTTATATCTTAATTTAATAATATATTAATATAACAATATATATATTACAATTTATAAATATATATTGATTATAAATATATGTATTTATATTTTTCAAAAATATTTTTATTAAATTATATTTCTTTTTAAGATATTTTAATTTTAATTTATAAAAATTATTGTATGAAAGACAAATAATATATAAAAAGATAGATAATTTATATGTTCCAAAAATAGAATATTGTATAAAATGAACAAATAATATATTATACTTTTTTTAAATATTGTTTGGTTATTTATTTTATTGCAAAGTAAAAATTAACTAAATTCGGATAAAGGACGGTTGCTATTGAATTCAATTATTATTAAAATATAATCAGAAATATAAATTCAAGATTGTGAATTATTAAATTTTAAAATTTACACTTTAAAATAAATAATTGTTCACATTTTATATAATAATATAGTAAATTAAATAAAATAAATTAAGTAAATTAATTTTAAAAAATTAATTGATTATTCCATAAAACTAATTTTATTCTAAGTATTTTCTTCTTTTTCTTTTTTTTTTTTTATGTTCTGTTATTATATATCTTTTTATATCGTCTTGTATTGTGTAATATTGTATTATTGTATAATAACTTACTTGTAAAGTGTCATGTTTGATCGCGCATATAGTGGTTTGAACAATTAATTGAATAAAAACTACCATTATACTTATAGATTTAGCGACAATGACGATATCGTCTTGGTGTAAGTATATTGAATGAATCATAGGCAAGCTTCCCAAACAAGAACTAATAATAGTGAGGATTTGTAAAAATCTGAAAGCAATGATTTGATTTCTACTGCTACTAATAGAAACTGGCCAACAAAAGCACAAAGCTACGCTGAGCCACGTAATGTAGATGACTCTTTTTAACATTACTTGTTCTATCATAATTTTAAGAAACTATTGTTGAAACAAATGAAATAAAGTTTCACTGATGAATAAAATTGTGTGCAGATTGTTGCTAGCTTGAGTTGTTATAGTTCGTTGAAAGATAATAGAGATAAGAGAAAAAGAAAGAAAGATAATTAAATATTCATTACATGATCATAGACATTGTTCGTGAAGCATTGCTTCAACAGAAAAAAGGAATTTAATAAATCAACATAAATGAAGTACAATTTATCGGTAATGATTTTTTCCAGACTATTTCTGCATAGTCTGGCTCGATAGAAATAATTATTGGTTACACTGATAGTATATTAGAAACATGCAAAGGAAGGTTATTACGTAAAGTGATTAATATTAAGGAATAAACGTTCTATTAGAAACTTCTGTTACAACGTTCTTTTGTAAAAAGGTAAAGAATATTATATTAAGCTAACTATTTAGACAGTCAACTTATATACACGCGATATTTACGAAAGATTAGCTAATAGAAAAAAAATGTGATAATGCAAAACGCATAGAATTCAAAGTCAATATATGTATTTTAAAATTTATACAAATTTAATATGATATGGTAATCTAAGAATCTAAAGATTTGAAGTAATTTTCTGATGCCATCGATGAAATTAAAAATATTGTAAGTATTTAATACACGTATCAATTAAAGTTCATAAAAATATAAAATGATAAGGAAATGAAATTCTATGTGAATAATCTTCTATTTTGACGTTCAAAACAATTAATTATCAAAATTTTATAACAAATTTGTTTTATATTAATATATTGTATTAATATATTTCTGAACGTAATTTTTCTTGGAATTCTAATCCATATTTTATTCTTACATGAAAATCAAACAAAATGGAATATCAAAAATGTATTTTTTTGCTAAAAAAAGAATAAAAAAACAAAAATTTTAAACGCTATTAAGAATCTTAAATGAATTTTAAAATGATTTGATTATCTAAATGATTTGATTAATTAATGATTATCAAAAATCTCATTTTATTTCATAAATGAGATATTTAAAGCTTTATACATAAATTTTATTATAAAATCTTTTTTTATTAAAATATTCATTAATACATTTATTTTTTTAAGTATAAAAATTTCAAAATGATATCGTTTCCTTATGAGCATTGATGCATTTTTCATGATTCCATTCTGAACATATTAGGTTTCATATCCAATAATCTATTATTAATAGGATTTAATTTTTTATTTTTTATTATAATATAAATAATGTAAATAATTTTTTAAAATGATTTATATATGATATAAGAACAATAAATTGTGATTAATATAAAAGATGCATTTATATATTGTATTCTATTTTATATAATTTTTATATAAAATATTCTAATATAAATTTTTTTATCTATTTTTTAATATCTTTTTTAGTTTAACAACAAAAGTTAAAATTTGTTTTTCATTATGTTTCAATATATTTTAATTAATTTAATATAGCTTAATTTATTAATAATTTAAAATTAAATTATTAATAATTTTTTTTATTTTAAATATTTAATCTTATGTTTCAGTCTTTCTAATTTGCATAATTTTTACATTAAATTATAATAATCTATTCTTATTATATTTTTATATTTATATATATATATAATATTTTTATAAAATAATCAGGATATTTTTGTCAAATTTCAATATATAAAAATCTATTATAATAAACTAAAATATATTATATTTCAATTTTCGTGCGATTGAAGTGAATAAGGAATTCAACCAATCAAAAAATTGCTAAGGACTAGCGACAAAATGAATTAATGCGCATCATAGTACGCGCATTATAATACGCATGTCATCAGTCTACAGTTGAAAAGCATAGTGAGAGGTTGTGTTTCGTGATTACATGTGTGTATTACATAAAATTTTTATTAGATAGGATATTATATTACGGTTATAAGGTCTAATTATTAGATTATTAAGTCTTATGTAAATACATATTTATTTACTATTGTGTAGAATTGAATATTTTTATGTAGATTATCGTTTAAAACTTCAAAGGCGGGATAGATTTGAAAATATAATAGTTTTTGCAAATACCATAATCAACAGATAATCCGACGACTTTCAGGCATGGTAGAGATTTTATTTCTTTTAATAAAAATTTAGTTACTATAAATTTCCTTTATTTCTTTCCATATAGAGATAGAAGTAGCTAGATTAGATAGATAGTACAATCAATTTATATATATTATATGTAATGTATTATATGTATTTTTTTACATATATTTATTTTTTTCTTATGCGTTTTATCTATACGTTCAATTACGCATGTTAAAATTATTTTTATATTTTTGTTAAATTTCAATGTATAAAAATCTATAAAATATATTATATTTCAATTTTCGTGCGATTGAAGTGAATAAGGAATTCAACCAATCAAAAAATTGCTAAGGACTAGCGACAAAATGAATTAATGCGCATCATAGTACGCGCATTATAATGCGCATGTCATCAGTCTACAGTTGAAAAGTGTAGTGAGAGGTTTTTGATTTTAATGTGTTTAAAATATTTCTTATAATTTAGTTCCCCAAGAAATTGAGTATTTATATTTATGTCACATTCGATTTATTGAAGTATTAAGCATATCTTCTCTTTTCATTTGTAATTCGATACATCGAAATCGCAATGTGAAGTGTCATTCTATTGTCGAAATTCATAACGATTAGATGTTTCGCATCAGGTACGTAATCTATTTCGTAATTTTTACTTGATAATTATTCTTTTATTTTTTATTTTTATTATTTATTTTTTATTTATTATTACTATTATTTTATATTAATGTATTTTTATTCAATTATTGAATATAATATAAATATATAATTATATAATATAATTCTTTGAGGAATAATTTAATTTTTTTTATTCCTTCTTAGCTATTAGAATTACTATTAGCTCACATTATTGAGTTAAAATATGAAATTATTGTTTTGTTTTAATATGATCAATTTAATTTTATGTATAATATATTTAAATATTTATCATAAAAAAGATGATAAAAAAAAGATTTGATTTTTTTTGCAAATAAGTAGTTGATTGCTAAGATTATTTTAGACAGGAAATTTTGAATATGGACGCCAGTGATATGAATGACAGTTTATGATTAAAATAAAGAAATAAGAAAAGACAAATAAAATTTAAATCAGAGAAAGATTAAATTAGATAAATATTTTTGTATTTTTTTTTTATTGAATAGTATATAATACATATAGAATATACATTATACATGATACATTATAGTTTTAATGTAATTCATAATTATAAATTGATTGTTGAAAATATCAAAATAAGATTGAAAAGATTTTGAATATTTTAAAAATTGTAATTTATGATTTGCTATATTTCTTATGAATGTTGTACTTTACAAAAATTTTTAAATATTTTTAATATGTTACATATTATTAATTCATAAGCGAACATTAACAACATAAGTTTTTTTAAAAATAATTTATATTATATATTTTTTTTTTAGCAAATCTTTTTTATTTTCCTGTCTAACGTAATGTTATTTTTAGATCATTGTGTGCATTATTATAATATAATCAGATAATAGATTCATTGTTTATTTCATAATAGCATTTTAAATATAACTCTAATTAAATTTAATTATAATAGTCATACGCGAAATTGGAATCAGTATTTATCCGATTATATAATATAGATACGTTGTAGTCCTTGATTTTTATTTTTTTATATAAATATTCATTTACAATACAATATTGAATCAATGTTTTTTTAAGAAAATGATGATCGAAAAGTAATTCTTTTTTTCTTATTTAAATTTTTTTCTTTCAAAAATAAAAAATAGAACTATCCAATAAATAATTTCAATTTTTAAATTTTAAGTTTTCATTTGAGAATTTTAATTTTTATTATTATTATACTTTACTAGAATTTCAATCTTTATTATCATATTTGTAATTATAATGTTTCATTTTTTGTTATAGATATTTTATGTTCTTCACGACGACCTCCATAGACCACAACAACATTAATGCAGATTCTTCGCATTTAAAGGTTAGTTGCATGCATTTTAATTTCTCCAATTACTCATTCATATCATAAGATGAAAAATCCAAATTGACACAAATGGTTGTATACATAGAATTTTACATGAGCACAATGACTACAGGTATTATACTCATGAGTAGTTTTTACATTTTTTATTTTGTATATATTTTACTTATTAAATCAGGATAAGTCTTCTTGTATATCGCACCTTTAAATATTAATAACCTTTCAAGTTACAAATATAATAAGTAAATTTAAATCATAAAATTCTAGAATATACATAATACGAGACATTTTAATATAAATATTTGCAAATACCTAAATATATAAATATATGAATATTCATGTATGAATTAAACATGAATATAAGAATATATAAAAATAATGCGATAATAAATAATTTTTAAGTTTTAAATTTTAATTTAGTTGCTAGTGTTCAAGATAATAGTTTTATTTTTCTCATTTGAAAATATATTAAATATTATATGCAAAAAGACACTTCGTGAGAGGCAGATTTTGAAATCAAACCTACTACTAAATTAATACTTTTTAATACTTTTTTCTTATTTTCGAAAATGTGCTTTGATAAAAGAATTGCTTGAGGTTTGAATCAATTATTTCATTAAATTGTATTTATAATTAATTTTTAATAATAAATTCTTTTTTAATTAGTGATTTTTTTATAAGATATTAAAATTTCAACGATTTATTATGTTTATAAAAAGTAAAATATAAAATAAAGTTATTAAAATAAGATATAATTAAAATACGATTATACAAAATCAAAGTTTATTAGCTCGTCAGATATAGATATTTGTATTAATTATTTATTATTAATATTTATATTAATATTTGTATTAATATTAATACTAATATTGTAATTATATTAATATTTGTATTAATGTTTTTAGTTGAGGATTTTCAGGTTTAATTATTCTATCGCATTGAAAAATATACAAAATATATATATTCAAATAGAGTAGAAAAATTCAACAATTTTATTAATGAATGAAATAAAGATATTATTATTAGTAAATAGAGAATTTTACGATAATGACTAAATTGATATATTTTCATGTGTATATTGCAAAAGAAAATATTGAATTTGGAGATTTATTAATATCAATAATGATTTTTTAAAAATTTTCATAATTGTCAATGCTATATTCGATCATTATTTGGCAATATGAATATGAAACATTTATATTGAATAAATTTATATTGAATAAACTATTTCGAATCATATATAAAATTGATTATATAATGATAAAATTATCATATAATTTTATAATCATAAAAATGTATAAGAATAAAATATTATTTATTAGAATTATGTTAGCAAATGAGATTTTCTACTAATAAAAATTCCAATTCAAAATATATATAAATGCTTTAATTATGCAATACATTAAAGAAAATTTGTAGGATCTTATATTAATGATGCTATGAATAATTATATTACTTATAAAATCAATATGTATTTTATAATTTTATAACATTATATTAATATATTATATTAATTATATTAATCTTTATTGACTCATTCCTAAAAATAAAATTTACTTTATTAAAAATGCATGAATTATATATAGAAAGGAAGTTAGTTATTATAAAAAAAGATTATAGTCTATAAGTCTTAAAAAATATATTAGGAAGTGTTTTATATTAGGAAATTGTTTTTTAAAAATTTTATGTAATTGATATGATATTATAATTGTTTAATTAAAAATAAATTGCATTTGTATTAACCGCGTATGTGCATAGTCAACTTTTGGTCGGCCGACTGAGTCGATGCGAATGGAGACAGTGTGAGATAAATAGAAACTAACCTCAATCGACTTCAAAGTCGCTCTTGTGTACTCAACATCAATCAGTTGAAACGACTTCTGATCGTTTTCAGTATTCAGTATAATTTTATTAAGCATTAAAAGATTGCGTAAATATTAAGATAATCAAGTGACAAGCAGGTCTTGATTGCAAAGATGTCTAAATTCAATTGGACGATGGACAAAACAAATAAGTTTATCGAGCTATACAAGAAACACGAATGTTTATGGAATAATAAAAGTGATACTTATAAAAATTGTAAATTGAAAAAAATAGCGATAGAAGATATAATGCAAAAAATGAATTTTGAAGGTTTAACGATTACTATTATAAAGGAGAAAATCAGATCGATAAGAACAATTTATCGCCGCGAATTGAATAAAATAATAAAGTCTCGCAAAAATGAAAGTGGAGATATATATGAACCAAAACTATCTTGGTTTAAAAGAGTAGATCCATTTCTTCGTTCTGTATCGGTTTTACGAACCAATATTTCAAAGACGGTAGGCAGTTAATAAAAAATACTGTAGTATTAAAAAATTTTAAATATAATATTAAATTACAATCACAATGAGAATAAGATGTAAGTAATACGGAAAAAAAATATGTTAAAATTCTTGATTTTTCGTTTTATCTTAATAATAAAAATATTATATTTCTTCTAAAAAATATCTTGCGTATATATTATGAAGTTTTTGCGCTTTTTTAGAACGATAGTTATTTGTAATATCGTTAATGACGCCAATCTATGCCAATTGTTTTGCTTTTTATGTGATGCCAAAGTAATTCATATTATCAAAAGCTTTAATATTCATTGCATTATATAAATTCCACAATTATTATATAATTAATATATAAATTAATCAATTATAAACCGCAAATAGCTTTAATAATTAAATAAATAATGTAAATATATTTATGAGTTACCAAACTTACATCAACAATATGTTTTAGGAAAAAATGAATATTATGATTATAATATGATACTAACTGTTTTTAAAAAAATATTATGTTTCAATAATTTTAATATAAATATTTTTTAATTTATTAAGGAATAATGACATACAATATTATTAAAAAAAATAAATAAGATAATTTACATATCATTATACCAAAAAAAAAATATTAGAGAAATAGTTAAAATAGTTAAAAAATATAGTACAAGTATTTAAAATTTTTTTTAATTTTATAAAATTAATTTATGTAATTATATTTTATAATTTATAATAATTTAAAAATTGTAGAAAAAATTATTATGAAAAAAATGTTAAATTCTTAAAAATTTGTAAACCATACTACGAAAAAATAAGTTCATAAATTAGGATTAATAGAATGTATTTAGCTTATTAATTACATTATATTTATATAGTGATTTATGGTCGAGAGTATATGTTTATAGAAATTATTTTTTTATGTTTATAGAAAATATTTTAAATATATTAACAAATATATATTTATAAATTTTTCTAAAATTTTGAATATTCACTATTTCGATAATTGTCAGTGAAACTTGAAACTAGTTATTTCTTTTAGGCATATTTTAGTAATTTTACTGATGATGTATTGGATAATAATGAAGACTCGTCATTACTTGTATATGATAATATTATGGAGACTTTAATAAAAGATAAAAAATTACAAACACAAACAATTGACGCGAAAATAAATAAAAAAGGAGCAATCGTTCCAGAAGAAATAGAATGTGAAAAAAATAATTCATTTTTTAAATCAGCACAAGAGAAACAAAAATGTGTAGATGTTCCTAAAACGAACGAAAGAGTTGTACGTCCAAAAAATAATATATTTTATGAACATTCCGAAGAAAATGAATTTGATATATTTGGCAAATCTGTGGCAGCACAATTAAAGCAATTTCCTCTACTCGAAGCTATAGAATGCCAAAAAAAAATTCAAGATATATTATTTACGCAAAGAATTCTCCTTCTTCGGGAGGAAGCTTCTCCCAATAGAATATGTGATACTTAGCTTTATCATTTTGTCTCGTTCTTTTTATAAAAAGAAGTTATTATTTTTGAAAAATAACTCGAAGCTTTAACAACAGTTGTTAATAAATTTTTTAATTTTTTCGATAATATTTTTTTATGTTTGATTTAATCTTTTCAATTCTGGAGAAGCATATACGTTCAATGAATATTTCTATGGAACAATATTTAAGAGATATCTTATATGTGTTATCTTTATCTTTTATCTTTTTGAAGTTTGTTTCACTATGTTTCTATCATTTATTAATACGAATTACATTACAATTTTATTAACACGTATTTTTGTTTATTTCTTAAAGAAAAAGAAATAAAAGTTTGAATTGAATTGATAAAAGCCGGGTTAAAAGGATTAATGTAAATAATATATATTTTTGTAAATTAAAAATGTTTCTTATAATTAATAGTCAGAATGTTTTGTGATTTTATTTAAGATAACTAATATTTCGATTTAACTTTGTATTTTGTTGATTCAATTTGCAATCTCTAAAATATTTTTTCGATTTTTCAAAACATTTGATACTTTAATTTTCAATTCAATTGTTAATATTATATTTATTTCACGTATTGTTAATAATATATTAAGATATACAATACAATATAAGCTCAAGCTTACTGTCGATTACTAGTCGTCAGCGACAAGATAATCGCAACCAATTTATTTCAAATAAGAACTTGTGATTCGAATTTCGATTTACTATTTTTGTATTTTAAGCAATTGAAATCTAGATAAAGGATAACGTGTGTAAATAATTGTATAATAATAATCTAATTGATTATTATTATTTGCATTTATATTTACATATAAGTATTATTACGAGTATGTTTGATGATCATAGTATAGAATAAGAAATGACAAGATGATCAATTGTTAACGATATATCGAAAATATCGATTCAACAAAATTATTTCTGAAACATGGATGTGCCTCATTTCATTTTGTATAGTTATAAATATTTGATATCAATAAATATTGTAAATATTATATAAACTGTAAATAATTGTAAAATAAAATAAAATATGAAAAGACAATTTTGCAATGCTCGTGTAACAATATATATAATAATTTAATTCATGTTTGAATTTTAGATTTATTTTAATTAGTACAATCCAATATTCACAAATCCAAATACAATAATTTATATATATAAAATATATTATTATAATTATACAAGATAAATATTTAATTTTATTAATTAATTACGAATCTAAATTTAAAAAATATTATGAATTAAAATTAAGATTTTAATTATCGATATATATATTCCATTCTTTTTCTATATCAATTGTAGAATTTCGTAATTCTTATTATTATTCATCGACTATTTAAATGGCACTAAAAAAATAATATTCAAAGACAGTTGAATATCATTAATAGTTGACAACATTAAGTTTGAATTTTAAGTTTTTTTTTTTGCATTTATATTTGCATATTAAGAATCAAAGAATTAACTAATTTAAAAATTATTAAAGAGACAGGGAAATTTTGAAATAAAACACTTCTTTCATTAAATATTTATTTAAATATTTGTAATATATGTAAAATATTTAACATTTTATAGAGTACTTATATGAAAACAATGTAATTTTAGACATCAATAATAACGATGTTAATATATCGATTAATGTGCTAGATGACTTTAATATTATACGTTTAAATATTTAATAATTAAATTTCATATAACTTTGATAGATTCAAAATATACGATTATATCGTTCGAAATAAAACATAACATTTATGTGTATACATATATATTTTTTAAATATGTATATATGAATATAATTAAATATATTTTTTATAAGAGATTTAATAATTTTATATATGAGGTGTGATTACAATTCTAAAATTACAGCTAGCTTCAGTTAATTTGAATTAGCATAAGGCGCATATGAAGAAAATAGGAATGAAATATTTTATATTTCTTATATATCTTATTATTAGAATGTATACATATATTGTATAATTAATATAAATAATTCATTTGTTAAATTTTGTAAAGTAATGAGAAAAATAAGGCTATAATTTAATAAATACAATTGACATTCATTTTTGTTCGATTAAAAATTAATTTCTTAGTATGTTAAATTAAAATATTTTGAAAAAAAAAATATAATTAGACATAAAAAAATATTTTTAAATTACATATTCGTGATTTCTAAGCAAATATGATATTATATGAATATTTTATTCCTCATTTAAAGAATAATAAAACTCATTAGATAAAACTAGATAAAGCTATAATAAATAATTTTGTAGAGCATTAAATATATTTATCCTTTTTTAAGTTGACGAAATGCGTAAAATGACATTAAAATTTATCTTCTTATCATTTTATACAATGAAAAAATATAATGCATAGCATTTAAGAATATTTATGCAATAAATTTATACACTGTTAAAGAATAAATTTTATGAGATAAAATATTAAATTTTCAAGAAACAATTATATTTTTATTATTCTTAATCTTTCCTGAGAAATATATAATATATATATGTATATTTATTTTAATTTAACAAGATATAGATACAACGATATTAATTTCTCTAATATTATATAAATATAAATGTTGCGCAACATAATTTTCAAAAATAATTCTCTGTAACAAAATATGTATTTTTATGTTCATAAAAATATCATAATAAGAAAAAAAAATGCATTTTGTCGATATATAGATTTTTAAATCTATATATCTATCATTTTTTCAAAAAAAAAAAAAAAAAAACGTTCAAAAAATATTTTTCTATAATCAAATTTTAATACACAATTTTATAACTGTTTTTAAGATATATGTTTACTTTAACTTGTATATATGTAATATTAAAGACCGAAATTAAATTTTCTTCGTTTTTCATTAAATAATATTTTTGTTAAAAATTAAAATACAAATAGGAAGTATTTTATCATAAATTAATAATCAGTATGAATTATTATAAAGAATTGTTTTTAAAAAATTATTCTGATTAATTTTTTTAACTGATTTTTATTTTTTAATTTTGTCATTAATTTTTTAATAACAAAACAAAATGTTTTAAATTATTTAGATATTAATGATAAGATTATTGATTTTTTTATTAATTTATTGATTTATTCATATTGAAAATGAATATAATAAATAGTTTTTAATAAAATCCAATATCAAAATAGTAAAAATAATTTCAAAATTATATATATATGTATAATATGTAATTATATGTATTTTAAATCAATATAAATATCAATAATATTTTATATTTATATTATAGTCTTTAGATGCTCAAGATATAATTCAATTCGAATAATCTTTCAATTTACTAATAACAAAGAAAATATATATTTAGATCCTTAATATTACTATGAAAGGAAATAACCGTTTAAAATGATTTTAACAATCAAATGTAGAATCCTGTTCATCCGTTTGTAATTGGACTGCTGCTCCATAGCAACCTGCAATTTTATTCATCACGAATTATTTTCTATTTGTATGGGTTTTCATTTTAACACCTTTTTCTATCGCATCTAATCTCCATATCTAATTTTACTTTTTGTAATAATTAATACATTTAGTTGGAAATTATTGTATTATGTAAAATTATTGTTCAATTAATTAACATTTTTGACAATTGTTTGTTGCTATTGTATATGATATGATGCTATTATAATGATAGCATACATGCAATAATATATTTGTAATTAATAAAACAAAAAACATACAATAACATAAAAATTATTGAATTTTATCTTCGATTAAGCATTAATGAGAAATGTTTAAATTTAATAATTTGTTAATTAATATTTGAATTAAATGTGTAAATAAAATAAAATTTCAATACAAGAGAATGTATTTTATTTTAAAAAATAATTTTAATTTTATATATTATCATCAGAAATTATTATATTGTATATAACTTGTTTTCTTGGCATGAATAATTATAAAATATAATAAGTAATATATAAAATTTCAAATTAAATAATAAAATGATTATATATCTTAATTATGTTTAAGCAATTAACTATACTTTCGTTTCAAACTTCGATGTACATATATACGTTTATATTTATCTGATAAAGAAAAGAATAAAATAAAATTTTCAATAGAAAAAATCATAAAAAAAAGTGCATAATAATAAAAAAAGAATTTTTTAAAAATGTAAAATATATTATTAAATGCACTTTAATTTATGCATGCATCTCCATAAAATCACAATTAATATTATATTACTCGTTCACCGAATATATATATATATATATTATAAATATATGAATGTTTGTTATATATAATATTTATAATACATGTAAATATAATAATAGATTTTAATTGAAGAGATATCACGAAAGATTGACGGCAATTCACGTGTTAGAAATTCAAAAAAGTTACGACCACGTGTTTTTCGATACAAGTTAGCAATAAAAAAAATGCATGCTATAATGTGTGTATACATATATATATATATATATATCAAAGAGATTACACAGATTTTCTTTTTATAGATGAAAAATTAAATATTAAATATTAATAAAACATATAAATATTAATAACTATAATCATTATAGATTATATTTGAAAAATTAAGAAATTGTTATAAAATTATAGAAAAAAAAATCACTCATAATTTTAAAAAATTTTTTTAAAAGTTATATTCATAAATAAGCTAACAACTATCGTAAAACCAAAAAAAAAAAAAAAAATAAATAATAATTGCATTGAATATATATATATATATATATAAATAGTAATATTATTAATATTAAATTAAGAAATGATATATTTGGTTTTGTTAGAAGATAGGAACACAGTGATATATCAAATTAAAAAAGAAAATCGCTATTTAGGATAAATTTCATTCTTTTTTTAATAAAATAGAATTTAAGATTCTTCGATTCTTATCAATTCTTATCTCATATATCACTGTAATCAACCGAATTTTCTGTTATCAAAATCTATAAATACTATGATTATATATAACATAATATAAGTTTTATGATATATTGTAATTTGAATATGCAGTATAATGATTCAAGATATTGATTGCATTTTAAAAAATTCATTTAATTTGATAATTTTAATCTTAAAAAAAATTTGTGTACATACATGAGCATAAAGAATGTTTTGAATTTATAAGAAATATCTTTGAAGGAGTG